CGGTTGCGGAGCAATATTTTTGTGGCTTCTTTGGACGGCACGATGCCGCTCGGGCGCCGCCGCTCGGAGTGACGGCAGTACGACGCGGCGGTCGCGGAGTCGGTGGCGGAGCCGGTGGCGCCTGCAGCGAGATGATGGAACACGAATTCGGGAAGAAAGCGAGTGGGCCCCAATGTGGGCCCCAGTGTGGGGCTGTGGCCCACTTCCCCGTGCAACTGAAGCAGTACCGGCGGGCCCTTGGTCGCATGGGCCACGGCCACGGCCCGGCCGGCTGGAGGAGTAGGCTCGACTTTATCGGATCATGTCCCTGTTGTTGATTGAGCCATCATTAACAGGATGAGGCCCACCTACAGGACCTACAGCCGGCTGCTGCTTCGCCCGCTCCGGCCGGCCGGGCCCCTCCCAAGGACGCCGGCCGACGCCATGGCGCGCCAGTCCTTTCTCTGCTGGTGATGGATATGAAGGACGGTAGGACGGTCCTTCACGGGTCGATGGCTTTCCTCAGGAAATGGCCCACTTGGGGCCTTTTAAAAAGCCACTCGGACATCAATAATAAACGCCTTTTGTCTTTTACGCGCCTCGCGAACGGATTGGGTGACCCACTATGTAGCGTATCCGGAACACGCCAGAGAAAGCATTCTAAAAGGCGTTGCACTCCCAAATTACGCTGTCTTTAAGACGCACGCACACACACGCACACACGCACCGGTCTTGATACGTGCCCGTCCAGTCTGCACGTACCTCGCTACGTACTTGAGTAAACGTACACGGCAAAAGCCGCCTCCCCCCCCCCATACCCCAGACCCATTTATTGCCGAAATTCCTGCCTAATCGGTTCAGTCAGTCAGTCCGTCAACGTGTGTGTGTGTGTGTGCAGCACACAGGCTCGAATCGCACGCATGTCCGTGCGCAAGCTGCATGCGGTTTCGGTCTGCACCGTCCGCCGCGAAAGCTCGAGCCTCCGCCTCCCGGTTCCAAAGGAGTTCCGGAGGCGGAGGAGAAGGCCCCGAAGCAGGAGGAGTGCGACAAAGGGTACAAAAGCCGAGGAAAGTGACGGGAAGCGCGGCGCCTTGCCGGCAGCAAACGTGTTCACCTCGTACGACCAGACCCGGAGGTATCACACGATCTCAAAAATTAGTGTCTCGCATTTCATCGAAATTCGATCGATTTGTGCCACCCGCTTAACACCTTTATGACGCTGTTAAGTTTTCTCACAATTTTTGTTCCCTGCGCGGCGCGGCTCGCGTGGTGGTGGACCGCCCGCGTATTTAATAGTGCCGGAAAGCGTGGCCGCGGCACGGCATTGACTGACCCACCGCGCTGGGCGGCACCACTGTGTTTCACCTTGCCGGGGTCCTATTGGCCCAGTTTATGTTGCCATTTCCGTTCTCTCTTGTGGTGATTCTAAAAGAGGTTCAGAACTTGAAAATTGTTTTTTTGCGAGATGTCAAGAAACGAGCCGCGACTCGCCAAAGGGCTGCACGCGCGGCCTCGGCAATGCCATGGCAAAGCCGGGGGACGCGACGCGGCGACGCGGTCCACTGGCCAGGACCGATGGCCCAGTTACCCATCCAAATGATCGACACTAAGTTTTCGTTTTCGTCATCGTCCCCGGAGAAAAGACGAAGATGCCGTCCCTTTTTTCGGTGGAAAGTGAGAGCGGTGGCACCGTGCCCATGCCCACCCAAAAAGGACCCGCCGAAAAAATACGATGATCGTATCGGAACGAACAAAATGGTTATTGATTTTTTTATAGCCTATTGGATACAAGCAGTGGTCGCGATGAAAGGTGAATGGTCTTTCGGGTAAAACGTCTTCCTTAGTTACACCTCCTGACTAATAATTTCAGTCGATTGTATTAATTTTTTTAGGACAGAGTGGAAATAGATTCCCCGCGTTTAACTATAATGGAGCGACTCACGCATGCTTCACCACCGTCCCGGACCGAGTTCCGGACCCACCCGAGGCGGCCGGGCCACACTCGGCGTCCGAACTCATTCACTCCGAATCCGTTTGTTTTTATTATATTCGTCATGCGAAAGTTCGCTCGGAATCGGCCATATATTTACTTTACGGCCCATTCGCGAATGCCAACACCTGGCCAACCTGGTTTGCAAGAGCCGCACCTGGACACACCTGGACCCTCGGCGGAGCAGCGCGGTGCTTGGCGGTCACACCGCGCGGAGCAGCGCGGCCAGGACTTGGGCCAGGCCGGCCGGCCAGCGCTGTCGTTAAAACACCAAAGGGAAAACCGTTCGATCCGTGATGTGCACCTCGCGACGTCGCTCGACCTTTGTGTTTATTTGGTTCGGCGGAACCCGCCGGACTGGCGCTGCCGATCGGTGGCTCAGCTGGTTACGGTGCAGGTAGCTGAGCGCCCCGCCCGTTGGCACGGGTTCAAGTCCCATCGGTGGCCGCGCATTTATCATCTGCACGGCGCTAGCGACTTGTCGCTGCTCTACTAATGCAACCGTTCACACCTGCAAAAACTTTAGCCTCGCGCTTTAATTGCGAATTTTGTACTGAGATTTTGCTTTTACGACGAAGGCGCCTTGATGCACTCTAGCACGCAGTCACCGCCTCCGAGAAAACTGCGAAACCTTATCGACATCAAGCTTTCCCTCTCGACGCACCTATCTCCGTTTTGAATCCCTTTCGAGTCATTCGAAGGATGCGCGCTCACACACTCACGCGCTCACACACACACACACACACACACGCGCGCGCGCGCGCACACACACACGACACACCCACTATAGCAGCGCGGACCGAAGTAAAAGTGCCTTTCGGGTCCAGAACCCTGGCAGGCCCGCCAAACTGATCGAATCTTCTTCACAACTTTCGTTTTCGCCTCGTCAGTGCGCAGTGCGTGGTTTGGCGATAAAAAAGAGGCGTTATTCCTGCTGCACTGCACCGATGTGGCCCACTGAAGAAACATGACAGATCACATCTGGGATGAGGCGAGCCGCGAAGCAGCGCGTCGCAGTGATACAACGCGCCGCAACCCGCCCCGGGGAACAATGAGACAAGGGAGAGGAAAAAAAATCAATCACTGAAGTTTCTTTTTGGTGAATGCTTTCTATCCATGTGCAGTGCATGTTATCCGTCAATATCTTCCCCCCACAAATTTTGGCGCTGGAATATTGATTTAAAGGTTGCCGCATTTGAACGCGAAAACTGGTGATTCTGGTTCGAATTTTCATTTTAATTAATGTGAGTTCGCCGAGATTAAACCGACTTACCTCGGACTTACCTCTTTTGGACTAACCTTCTTTGGACTTACCCCCTTGGACTTATCTCCTTTGGACTTACCTCCTTTCGTTCTCCTTTCACATTTGCCTTTTCCTTCAGGGCTGCACCAGGCCAACTTAGTGATACGGTGACTATGTACTTTTAAATCTTGTTTGAAAAAGACTGAGGCATTGAAATGAGCGTGGAAGCTCGTCCACAATCTCGGTGCCGAAGACCGAAGGGTCGGTTGCACTATCGCGGTGCCACCGCGCAAACCCGGGGGAAAACCTGGTCCATAGTCACCGGCCTGCCGCCCGGCCCGATGGCCGGATGTATGCGCGTGTGCGTGCGCGTGTGAGGCCGAGCCCGTGTGGTATATGGGTCAGCATACATTACGGACAACAACAACGTGTGTGACAAAGTGCAGCCAGGTTACGACACCCTGTCTGCGTGTGTGTTTACGCGGGAAGTCCTGCCGCAGAGGCCTTGTCCCGGCGTGCTGCTTCCTGCCGGCGAAAAGAGGACGCCGTCTAGTGTGATCCGGCCGCGACGCAAATTAAAGCAAATTCGGCGCGAGCTTTGATCATTTTGCCGCGGGTACCGGGCGAGCACTAACAAGGCGTGACACGAGGGGGTCCAGGCCTCGGTCCAGGTCGAGCCACGCGGTGCGCTGCTCGTACCGAGGCACTCGCTCGTACAGTATATCTCCGCGCGGGCATTGCTGGCTGCACGGTCTCGGGGCGCGGCGGCGCGGCCCCCCGCCGGCCTGCCGGCTGCCCCTTCCCCGGCTCTGCCCGGCTCTGCCCAGGCCGCCAACGGGAGCGACGGAGAGGTCGAGGCGCCAGTCTGGCTGTCTCGCAGTGCGTGTCGTTACGCTCCAAAATGCCGGCAGAGATACAAAACCACCGACGCTATACGGCGTGACGCCGCCGCCTCGACGCTGTGCACCGCGCCGCCCCCGCGCCGCCCCCGCGCCGCCCCCGCGCCGAGACAGGGCGGCCTGACATAAGCACGCCGTCCAAGGACGCGTCTGTGCTTTCGGAAAAGACTCCAAGGGAAAGATGAACTTAGAAGACACAAAACTAGCGCGTCCCCTTTTGAAAAAAGCGTTGGTCCCGATGGCAGTGCGGTCTTCACCGTGTGCGACTCGGTACTTCATGGCGCTGCTGCACGGCGCTGCAGCACGGCGCTCATGGCGAAGGCCGTCTGATTACACGTTTTGCACCGCAGGCCTTCCTGAGGCGTCCCTGGGATATTATATGACTTTACGCGGTTCCCCGAGGTTCCCTTGGGCAGCAGCCGCCGCCGCTGCAGCAGTAGCAGCAGACGGGTCGGTAATGACCGGCTGCAAGCCCTCCGGTTTGAATTTAGGTTGAATGAACGCTGAGCCCGGGTACCGTTCAGCGAGCGGCGGTTCAAAATCAAGCGGCCCAAATTCAGTACCACGACGATGTTAAAGCTGTTGGAGTAAAATGGATTGGTGCCAATCGAGACCCAGCGCAGCGTCCGGATGACTCGTTCAGTGTCCAGTGGTCTGGTTTGGCCGCCTCCAGCAGTGCAAGTGTCGAGAGACGTGCGTTGGGTGGCCTACCTTGGCAGGCGCACGAGGAGGGGCAGGAGTGCGTTGGGTGGCCTACCTCTGCGGCGCAGGACGCGGGTAGCGGCACGTTGGGTTGACTGCCTCTGGGGGAGAGCTGAAGTAACGACTTGAGGCAGTGTGTTGGGTCGCCTACTCAGTACGCGCGTCGTGAAAGGAAATAAACTCTTGCTGGCGTTCGACAGAAACTGTTTATTGCACGCATACAGCACACAATCCGATCCTAGCCCAGCGGGGACGGGCTCAGAGTCCCAGCTGGGGCCGACATAGAAACAGGCTTCAAGTTAGGCAGCTCGAGTCTCCCGGGTTTGAAAGTTGTAACACAAAAACTAGGACTTTCACAGATTCATGGGAGCAGCATACGCATGGAAACAGCATCGCCTACCTGCACTTGAAACAATAAACAACTCACCAGAAAGTACTGGCAGATACCACATATGGGAAAGCCCGTAAAGAGCTCTACGAAACAAAATGCGAAACATTGCGAGGTACACACATCTATTACGTACAAATAAAAGACGAACTATCACGTCACATTTGACCCGTTACTGACTGAGGCTAAGAAAAATTTACCAAATTTATAAAACGTACAGCTACACTGGCTAGGAAGAACGACGATAGAAATAACAAAAAATATTGACAAGTAATGAGATTCTGTTTGGCGAAGCTGAAATTCAGCTAATACGGTGTAATATTAATAATACTGAGTTTTAAATATAAATTTTCTTACGAATATTAATAAATAATGTATCAATTCCTAGTGATATTTATCCTTCACTCACATACACCATATAAAACACAAACCTACAAGATATGGTCTTTGTCCAGAACCGCTGCCCAGCAGCGATGGCGGCCTGCCATTTCATCATCGTTCACTACAGATAAGTACCGGGCGCAAAGTTTAACACGCGACAGTCAGGCGGGCATAGCCATGGCATAGCAGAGCGCCGATGTTGAGCCTTTCCGCGTAGCTCCACTGCAGTGCTCCGAGGGCGGATTTAGCAGGGGAAAAGGCCTTATGGGCAGCAAAACAGCCGCTGAAAGGTAGACAAAACGCGACACTTTGCCTCTGTAAGAGTCAAAAAGCTGCACATTAACCCTGCAAATAGGCGGAATTCATAACTTCGCCTCTCCCGCAGGCAGATTCTAGGCCGCAATCCTTGCAGTCCGCATCGGCAACCCTTGGGGCATCCACCCGCTACCCACGTGTTGCACTCCACACTCGGCATCCACTTGAAAAATACATCACAAATATGCACAGCGGCCAGATCAAGCCGAACATCTCAAAGTTGGCACGCTCGAATTTAGTCTTTCCGAGATTCCGTTGTGGCCCATTGCCAACAGGCACGAAAAAAAAAGACTCCAAGACGCCACTGATAAAACTTAAGTGTAGTTGCGCGCTTGCAACTACGCTTTAAGACATACGACCTTCTTGAAGCATACAACCAAGATTCAAGGCAATTCGCACTATGCATTTATACAGAAAGAAGCGCATGAGCTCTTGTACGCCTGAATAAGGGCGTAGGGGCTGGACGCTTCACGATAAATGTTACGCCTTCGTTTTACCAGTGGCGGCTGCATCGGAGTTGACGCTCCACGCGTTCGCGGCTGTCGCGGCTACGGCCTGTAGTAGTGCGAGTGGTCCACGTGGTCGAACGTGAAGTAGCGCGGCGGCTGCGGCGGCTTGTGCAGGCCTTGGTGCACGGCCTGGTGGAAGCTCTGGGGCGCCCCCATGGACTGCGCTCTGTCCGGGCCCGACCGCCCCAGCGGCCCCAGCGGCCCCAGCGGTCCCAGCGGCCCCATGCTGTCCAGCCTGTCGCCCCTGCCGTCTAGACGCTCTATCCGCTCCAGGGCGTCAATTCTATCCGACGCCACCCGCCCCAGCGGCCCCATGCTGTCCAGCCGGTCCCCCCTGCCGTCCAGCCGGTCCCCTCTGCCGTCCAGCCGCTCCAGGCGCTCCAGGACGTCCATTCTGTCCGCCCGCAGCCCCTCCAGCCGCTCCGCGCGGCTGGCCTCCATCTTGGCGTCCATCCTGGACGGCCCCGGCACGGCGGGGAGCGTCCGCTGCGGCGCCGCGTCGCCGGGCTTGCGGCGGCGGCTGCTGCCGCGCCGGTGCGCCGACGGCATCCTGGACAGCGCGGCATCGGGCGGCGAGGTGGGCGTCGAGTCGCACGTGGTGGACGCGTCGGCGGAGGCCATCGGCACGGTGGCGCCCGGCGGCGGCAGGAACGGGTTGTGGATGGGGCCGTACGACGACGACGAGTTGGTGTTCCGCGAGGACGACGTGGACGAGAGCGTGGACGGCGAGCCGGGGTCCATGAGCGGCACGCGCTGCAGTCGGTACGACGGGACGCGGTGCATGTCGTGCTTCTTGAGGTTCGTCTCGCTCAGCGGCTGCGGCGCTGGCGGCTCCACGACCGGGGCCGTCACCACGCTGCCGCGGGGCTGGCGCGGCGACGGCTTCGGTGTCGGGCGCGGCGACGTCGGCGGCGACAGCGTGGTCAGGACGGTGGACGCCGTGGCGACGCTGGCGGTGCGCTGGGCCAGGGCGGCGCCGTGCGGTGGCGAGGGCCCGGGCGTGGACAGCGCGATGGTGCAGTAGCCGTCGCCGTCCGTCGCCGAGCCCCCCGACGTCGGCAGCGAGCACTGCGCGGCGCGCACGCCCCCGCGCGTGTGGCGGCGGTTGCTGAACCGGAAGTAGCCCCGGACGCGCTCCTTCTCCGACCTGCGGGCAGACAACGGAAGAGCGGCCGCGTCAAGAAATGCCAACTCCGCCGCGGCAACACTTGAGCCCTTCGCAGCCACCGCTCCGCCGCGCGGGGTATCGCCGCCCGGCGGATACGCCGTGCGGGCAAAGCCTTGCGACGCGGGGTATGGCCGCCGCGCTTGTCGTCGCCCAGACCTACTCACCGACTCAGCACCCAGGCGGCGACGAAGAGCGGCATGGTGCACGTGGGCAGGAAGGAGATCCACACGAGCACCGAGTAGGCCATGTCGAAGTGCGCCGTGTTCTCGTACGTCTCGTTCAGCTCCGACTTAATAACCCTGCAATGTAAACACATCCAAATGAAACGCGGCAAACGAATCGAATCAGGCGTGCGCGAAGGGAGGGTAGCGGGTGCCGAGTCCCTCCTCTTTGGCACTGGAGAAGTGCCTAAAAGGGCAGGCAAATGGCAACACATTCCATCTAAACACGGCATGGCTTAGCCTTCCCTCCTTTTTAAAATACTTCGGTTCGCCCCTGAACTGTACACCGAACTGCTTTTGGGCGCTGTGCTGCGCTGCGCTGTGCATGCGTGGAGCGGCGTCACGTGCTCACCGCAGAATGTTGAGGGGGGCGACCAGCACGAAGAAGGCCGACGTCATGCTCACGAGGTACTTCTGGGTGCGCTCCTCCTTGGGCAGGTCCAGCTCGGCGGTGCCCGCGTGCGGCGCCACGTACAGCGAGTTGCGCATCGGCACCGACCGCCTGCGGGATGGGACAAAAAGCGCCGTGAGAGGTAAGGCGTGTGGCCGCGCATGCCGCCAGGGGCGGATCCAGAAAGGAGCGGCTAGGGCCTTTCCTTGAGCCCTTACACAGCCGCCTGAAAGGTAGAGCAAGTAGCAACACATTGTTCCGGTAAGTGGGCAAACTGTACCCCCCCTTTAGGCCACCTCTGGACCCGCCACTGCCAGCCGCATGCCTGAAGACCGCTTCGCGAGACATCCTGGAAACGGGTGCGCGAGCAGCAGCTTCAATTACCGCCTGGCGTCTTCACCGCGGTGCACTGCCGGCCCCACTGGCGGCGGGGTGAGTCCTGCGGAAGTCATTTCAGGTCAGGGAGCGGGGAGACGGATGGGGTGCCGGCCAGGACATGATTGACGGCGTGCAATCACTTAGGCTGCAATGTCGCACTGCCCCGCCGGCCCCGCCGGCCGCGGCCCGCTCGGGCCTTGCGACTTGGCGCCCCGCCGTCCCTCCACGTACTGCACACCCGTTGCGCCGGCAATAAATTAGTGTGCAGCAGCTCCCTCTTTTCCAATCTTGGGCCGGGTGGGGCGGGGCGGGGCGGTGTGGCGTGGACGGACGTCGGCGAAATGCACAATGCGAGGAGACGGTCGCGGCACGGCGAGGCTGGGGCGGGGGGTGAGGTGTGCGGGCCGAGGCGGGGGCGGGGTGAGGTGAGGGCGGAGCGAGGCAGTGAAAGCCGTCTGCTGCTCCCTATATATCACATTCTGCAAATTCAAGCGTATGTCGACGGAAGGGCGCGGCAGGGCAGAGGCCCGTGGCGTGGCGTGCCTCGCCCCTCCAGGCGGCGCGGAGATGGGCGCTGCGAGGGGGCGGCCGGGGGCGGCACGGCCGGGGGCGGCACGGAGACGGAAGGCGGGTCTTATTCTTAGGGAGGCTTGCTTGCTACTTTCTTTCACGGCGCGCCTCTAAGGGGGCGAGCCGCGCCGGCAGAGCAGGGCAAGGGCTCGGAAGGGCTCGGAAGGGCACGGCAGGGCAGGCCTCCGCGTCATCGCGCTTCCGAATTACGGCGCCAGGCAGAAAGGCGGCAGGCGGACGGCAGCCCTCCGAGCCCGCCCTGCGACCTCGGCCAGCACAGTGGCGGCGCGCGTCGCGAGACGCCCTTACCGCTTTAACACCCGCGGCGTGAAAAGCGGCGTCGCGACGCCCCCGACAGCCTGCGGCTTGGCCTGCGGCGCGCTGTGGCGCCACGGCCGTTTGTTGCCGAATTGCCGTCAAAGGACGAGCCGGGGCGGCGGCGGGGGAGTGCCGTGAGGCGGGGCGGGGTGGCCAGCTTTACAACCCACCCTCCGCCCCGGCCTCCGCCCCGGCGGCGCGCTGCGGTCCACGCGCGCCCTGCCGGCCGCCTCACGGGACCCACGACGGCACCATTCAACTGGTTCATTCTTACGAGCATCAGCATTTCACGACGAGAAACGCCGCTCGGAGTCCGGAGGAAAAAAAAACAGCCGCACAAGCAAAATCTCTCGTCTTCCCCATTTGTTGCGGCGTCCCCAACGTGAGGAGACAGGTACACACTTGATCCTTGTGCACATTTTGTGCGTGAGTTACGCATGTGCAAATTATAACGTAACACGAACAAAACGTCCATCGATATTTGGTGTGTAACGGGTGACGGACCAGGATCTTTACTCAGCGGATAGCGCGACTTACACCCCGTCGGTCGGGTTGCAGGGTACGTCGCCCACCACATGGTGATGGCGGCGCCGGCACGTACGAGGCGGGCTCGGTGCCCGCGGCGACGCCGGGGCTGCCGGGGCAGCCGGCAAGGCCGACAAGGCCTCGCCGTCCACTCGGCTCCGAGTGGCGCGCTCGCCGCGCTCGCTGCCGCCGGGCCGAGGCCGAGCGCGGTGGATGTGACCCAAACTTATGTAAGCTCCACCGCGTTTGGGGAGGCACGGCGAGCGCGGGGTGGCTTGGCTGCTGTGCTTCACGGGCGCCACCCGCACGCCGCACGCCCGTCGCCCGGCCTCCGACCCCTGTCCCGGGGGTAAGTGTATTTGTTTGCAAACGACTGCTCCGCACGACACTCAAAACCGCCGTCCGCGCCGCCGACCCCCCCCCCCCCCCGGTCGGGGGTCGCAGCGCCCAGTGGCCACGGCCACACGCCCACGAATCAGATTGTTTGGACGGATTAAAAGTTTATTTTTTAACCTTTCCAGATGTATACACGTTTCCCCGCACTTTCCACCCACGCGGCTCCCCGCCGCCGCCCCGCATACACTTTCCTTTGTACGTCACAGCGTGTCGCGCGGACAATAAGCAGACGTTACGAAACTGCGACTATAACCGTCCCCTCCGCCTGCGAGCCCCGCCGCGGCCCGACAGACACCCTTACACTGCCACACACGGCCAAGGCGGGAAAACCAGAGGTAAGCTAGCTTACACTTTTTTAGCTGTCTTGTTCTTACTTCTCGAAAGTAGGGTTTAAGATTCAACGTCTGCGAAAAACGAAAATTTGACAAGGGCACAGCGAAGGGTAAAGCGGATGAGAGGAGACCGTGGAGCGTTTTCACGTCACTCTTATATATCCCAAAGCAGACACGCTCCCATTTGTCCACGGTTCATGTTCATGGATGATTGATATATACAAATTAGCGTACCTTACGACAGGCGCGCTGTTATCGGATTCCGCGGAATGTCGGTGGCTCGGCCCGGCGCCCCGCTTTCGGCCCCGGTTCCACTACACCGACATAGCTGCGCCAGCCGGCGCATTCCATGTGAAAAACCGGGGCCACCGACGAGGGTAGCACAAATTGAACCCATTGGTGCGTAACTTCACTTCCATTAGAAAAAAAATAATAATTGGCCAGCACGCTGCTAACCTAACCTTGGTTTTGGCGCGGCGGCTTGCCGTCGGCTAACTTGGCCTTGCTTCGCCCTAACAAGCGATACTGTGTCCTCTTCGTCACCTCGGCAGTCTATAATCAGTGTCGTTAATTGCTTCTCGGAAAGCCTTCAGCCTCCCCCGTGTCCCTTTCACTGGCGTGTCCGTGACAAATCTCATCCGACAGGGTCAGCACTTTTTTCCTTCTCTTGGGTTGCGTAGTGGGGGGTTCAGTGGATGAGGTTTAAGGGGGGGGGGGTAGGTGGGTGAGGATTAGGGGGTAGGGTTTAGTGTTAAGGAGGCAGGATTGTGGGAATGTTTAGGGGGAAATGTTTTGGGGGTAGCGTTTAGGGTGGATATTGGGGGTTAGTGTTAATGGGGTGGGATTTAGGGGGTGGGATATAGGGGATAGTGTTTAGGGGGAAGTGTTGGGTAGTGTTTAGGGGGGATTTAGGGGCTAGGGTTTAAGGGTTTAAGGGGTGCCGTTAATAGGGTGGTGTTTCCGATCTGGCCGAAAGCTGTCCGAAAGAGCCCGATCGGCGGGGTTAGTCGGTGGGGTGTATAGGGGGTGGGATTTAAGGGGTGGCTTTACCATGATGGTAATTTTCACAAGACATAGAACTGACACTAGGTAACAGCATTTTACATAAAACGGAAATAAAAAAACTGCGCAGCACCACACCACCGCACGGGGCAGGAGCCGAGCGGGGCGAAGCTCGCGGGCGGCAGCGGAACTGTCGCGAAAGACAGAGGGGCTTCCCCCGGGGTGGCGGGCAGACGGTGCTGTCCCGCAGCTATACGGGCGGCAGTCGAGCGTACTGGGGCGTGCTGGGCGTGCCGGAGCGTGGCGGAGCGTGTGCAGTGGGGCTGAGGCCAGCCGTTACCCAGGGCCGTGTGTCGAGCCGCCATGAATAATAGCGGCTCATTAGAATTTCATCCTGATTACTCGCGTCAAGCAACGACAGTCACAGACACCCGTCCGGCCGGCCTTGGCCCGGCCCACGGCAAAACAAGGACCACAGTATCGACACATGCAAACCATTCGTTACTCGGCCCCCTTTATCTGCTTAATAGAATCGTGCGAGTCTTTGCCCGCCGACAGCATCGCAAGACAACAATACCGCCGCAAACAAAACAAACATGAAAAACGGAGCAAGCCGCGCAAAAATGTGGATACGTATCGAATGGCCACGGCGTGCCACGGCGGACGAACAATTGGATGTGTAGCGGGCGAAGCGGGCCCGCGGGGGGAGGGGGCCTCTAGGAATCGGTGAGTGGAGTGGGTGGGCTCGGAAAAAACTCCCCGCGGCGTTCCTCGCCTCCACGCACGCCGGACCTCAAAGGCACACAAAGGCTGAAAACAAGTCAAAGGGAAAATATCTCCTGGGGATTTGACCCACGACCCCCTGCTTTCGATACATTCTGTCTGCCTCATCAATACAACAGGCCGGTCTAAATTCCCGTGGAGCGCCGTGGCCGCGTGGGTCGGGCCACCGGTCACACAAGCTTCCAGCTAGACGCGGTTCGAATAACAGCGGCTCAGCGCCACTTTTTCCCCATCCCGAATTCCGCGAACTAAGCGGGAGCCAGCCATCAAAGAAATTATGGTAAGTAAAAGCTCGGTTCACGAAGGCGCAAAAACGTGGGCACCGAGAGCACCCCCTCCACGGCCACTTCACCGAAGCCCCACTTTTGCCAGACGCGTCGCTCCGCGCCTCGCACGGCAGACTCCGCACTCGGGGCCCGGGGCGCCCACGCCCCGCCGCCCTCGCCGCGCTGCCAGGGGCTGAGGAGGCAGCCTGCACCGCCCGTTTGGAGCGCAGCCAGCAGGTAGTGGCGAATCAGTTTGTCAGTGTCGAGGGGCAGTTATACGCCCTGCTCCACACGTGGGGTGGGCTGCGCACGCCACGCCTCACTACGCCACGCCGTGGCGCAAGACCGCGCCGAGCCCCGGCACGGCCTACCTTGCGCCTGACAGCCCCGACAGCCCCTGCCTCATCCACCGGCCGGGCCGTGACACTAACCGACTGCAGCATGAGTTATGCCCCCCCCCCTTTTCCCACTTCCCCTTCCCGCCCCCTCCACACCGCCAATTCGTCACGCCACACGTCGCCCCAAACAAGAGCAACAAGATCAAACCCCGGGCCGCGGGGCAGGGGGTGGGGCCGCTCGCGGGGCGGTCGACGTGCAATACTGTTGGCGTGTCCCCGTCCCTGGAACTTTGCTTTCACCTGACCACTCCGGTGAAGCAACTTGGAGGCCGCGCCGCGCCGATCGAGTGGTGCCCGAAGCCACACGGCACGCCGTGGTGCCGCAGTGCGCGCAGCGTCGCGGCATAGCAACGCGGGGCTCGCAAGGGGGAGCAGTTTCGACTGTGCAGCCATAGAGCAGCCACGGAGCAGCCATGGAGCAGCCATGAAGCAGCCATGGAGCATGAAGCAGCCATGGAGCAGCCCCGCTGCGCGCAGGGACGCTATGTCGAGCCTGGCGCACTCCACGACGCCACGCCCGCTGCCCGCGCATGCTGTTAGCGTGCTGCACACCTCACGGGAGCCCTTTTAGGCGTTCCGCCAGCGAGCGCTCTGTCTCTCTCGCAGCGGTGCCGCGTCCCGCGGGGGTGCGAGAGAGACAGAGCGATGCAGCGCCGCTGTTGTTCGGAATCGGTCGCCGCGGAATTAATGAGCACGACGAGCCTCACGTCGGCTGCTGCCTCGCTGCTGCACACATCTCCATTATTAAGGACTAGCCCGCCTTTCAGGCTTTCAGCCGCCGTGCCACGCCGTGCCAGGTCAAGGGGGAGAGGGGGGAGGGGGGATGATCCCTGCTCTGAATTCAGACCCGGTACCGAAAGTAATGCACAAAGCTGGGGCCCATGCTGCCAAAGGGCACGCACACGCGCGCCAGCACATGCCAACACACTCAGAGAGGGAGAGAGAGACAAGAGAGAGAGACAGAAAGAGAGAGAGGGGGGGGGGTAGGATATCGGACAAGGCGGTGTCGAGCTGACGACAACCAACACAACTCGCCCCCGGGGGCGGTGACGTTTTCTCTCTCCTCTCTCTCTCTCTCGCACTCATTAGGAACCAATTAGGCGCGACAAGGGGGACGCATCTCGGGACCACTCTGCGAAGACGGGGAAGGGGGGGTGAGGAGGACTGGGCGAAGGGCAGGGGGAGAAAGTGCAGCAAGAAGGAAGCAAGGACGAAGGACAAGGACGCCGCGCCCTGCACAGCAGCCACCTCGCCCCGAACAAGGGCACGAGGAACCCCCGATCGCGGCGGTCGGCGCGCTGGTGGCGCTGGTAGCTGGCGGGGACCACCGCACCGCCGTCGCTTGCTGTTCCCCGGTCCGGTTTCGCAGTTTGGGGGGCAAGGATGAAGGGACTTGGGCGAAACTTTATCTCGCCGACCCTCTGGATCCTCGTCGGATGAGGAAATCTGTGGGAAAGGGAGGGGGCACCCTAGAACCCCGTCTGAATAGACAGGCAAACATGGGTCTAGCCTACACTGCACGAGGTAGCCAGAGTAGGTAGCTTGCTCAGGACTACTCGATTGGAGCCACTCTTTATGGCTCAGCAATATTTCTATGCAGTCGCAACTTCTTAAAACATTTTTTAAAGAACTAGCACAGACAAGCTATTTAAAGAGACACATTTCTGAGCGAGCAGTGCGAATTGCTTTCGCGCACGAGCGCATCGGCGACGGGTTGGCGCCAACACGCGCCGTCTGACGATTTAATCCATGGCAGTTTCGCCTCGAATCGTTCCAGCTTCGCTGAGGCGTGAGCGCCAAGGACCGACGCGCTGCTCGGGACGGTGCTCCGATAACCCGCCCTGGACGGACTAGAAAGAAACGCAGACGTAGTTTGGCGGGTATTTTTTTCCTCCGCCCCTCTCCCTTGGCTCCCAGCAAGTCGCGCCGTTTGTGGGGCGTTGACGTGGCTGGTGCTCAAAGGCGGCGAAGAACAGGAAAAGAGGCGTCAACGGCTCTAGCCCAGCACGGTAGGCACCGACACCGGCGGCGGGGGGGCTTTACCCCCCCCCCCCCCCCCCACGGGCGGCATAAGGGAAATATGTGGCCTGGAGGTGCCGAAGCCGTGAGAGCTGCAGTCTGCCGAGTTCGAGGAAGGGAACGGAGGTTCGACACCAACGCAGCGACCGGTTCAGTCACAAGGCGCGGTAAAAATACAAAAGCAGGGTTATTATTCCCCTTTGGGTACTAACTCCTTTTCACCGAACCAGGCATAAAGCTCTGCTTTACCCGCCCCTTGTCAAGATTCTGGAGCGGCGCCAGTACGCGAAAGCGGCGCTTCAAGTCGAATCATCGAACAAATCCTCAACTCGGCGCTCCGGAGCGGAAGGCCCGGAAGGGGAGGCGAAGAACGCAGGTTCACCCGGTGTTGAGGGACACGCCAATCTCGGCCAGACGAGCAAAGCCGTCAAATCCCCTTATGCCTTCAAATATGGCAGAGGAGGTCCGCTTGGAAAAAAGGGGGCAAGAGTTTGGTCGCTAATTTGAATTTGCCATGCCACGGGGTGGAGGTCGATTCGGGGGACGGCCCCCCGGGTGCGCCATCGGTTTATTGTCTTTAATATCCGGCGTACCGAAACGGGCCGCTCGCCGGGCAGCACGCGTTTCTGCCGCGGCAAGCCAGATCGCCAATTTTTATCACAAGGAATGGAAATAAAGCCACGCGCTCGGCCAGACAGACTCCCCACCGCCAGTTTCATTTCCGCGATCCAAAACGAAACGGAGAGCAGGAAAACTGCGAGCAATCAGTTCGTCGACGGGATATTGGTGGGTTGGGACGCAACAACGTACCTGTAGCCGTGCACGGAGGCTGACGAGGTCCTGGGCGAGCGCGCGGCGCGCGTGTCGTACAGCACCAGGGTCACGGTCTGCTTGTCCTTGAGCATGCGCGACGTCTGGCCGTGGATGTAGGCCGCCACGATGGCCGGGATCACGTACCTGTCCAAAACAGAGTTTTTAAAAGGGCCAAAGTCCGAGCTGTGGAGCCGTCGGTGCGGCGGGCAACTCCGCTCCAACTTTAAGGGAGGTCGGGCCGTAGTTTGGGACCACCGATGCCCGAATCACATTTGGCACTGCTTTGGCTTTGTGCGACCGCCAAAGTCCCCACCACAAAATGCGGTATATAGGCATAAACGCGGGAATGGTGGTGCGGCATTTCAGAAAAAAAAAGACTCTGGACTGTATTTTTTGAAGGTGACGTCACATTGCGGTTGGAGCGTAAATCGCGACAACGTTCCAGTCTCAATCGACCAGGCCGAGCCAATGGGAGACTAGATTCACGAATGTCACGTACCGTTTCGACGGAAATGGCGCGAGTCCGCACGGTTCACATATCGACACTTTAAAAAAAATGTACGACGATTCCGCGAAAGAAAATAACCCTCACTCTTCTGGTCAATTAGCCAGAATTTTTTCAGAGAGTAGATGACGTCTCATTCCTGGATTACCAAGTACACTCCAGTAGTAACGGTAAAAATGTTGGCCTTTTACTGCCCTTTGCGTTTGTACTCACATGAGGACGAAAATGCAGCGCATGTAGTCGTGGATGTTGTTGCCCAGGTTGGCGAAGCATACGGCTATGTCGGGAGAGTCCTGCGCGTCCCCGCTGCGCGGGATGTACTCCTGCATAAAGGAACAGGGTCGAAAGTAAGTCGCCGAAAGTGTTTTGAAAGAGGAAACAAATCCGATATTAAAAGCACTTCAATCAAGACGTTTGCGAAAGTGTACTCAAGAGACTCTGATTTGTTATTTCCTACAATTACGTGGAAACGAGCAGTAGCACCACCTAAAAGGCCTGCTTCAACATTCCTCAAGTGGAAGAATTATAGTTTATTTGAAGCAATATAAAAGGACGAGGTAGCACCAGCTAAAAAAAAACAGCTTGCACGCAATTACAAGAAAAAGAATACAGAGAGAAAGTACACAATGCAGAGTAAAAACAATGAGGGGTCCCTTGAAGCTCCACTGACAAAATAATTTAGAAAACCGCGTCAGGTCGCGGAGGTAACCTAGTCTGGAGAGAGGAAGGGGAGGTCTGGGAGCGGGAAAAACGCCGGGGGGAATGCTGCCGCCCTGCGTAAGGGAGGTAATCTGGTCGCCGCAACTGCGGCCACGCCGGGCCATGCCAGGCCGTGCCAATGCCGGTTATCAAGCGGATTGCCCCAACCTGTGATCACACTCCGTTTGAGCGCGGCGGGCAGGCCACTGCCGCCTTTCCCCACTCAATAGCCGTGCCGCCCTGGACCGCTCCACCGCCGGTGCTTTTCTTTTGAAAAGGGGTAAAGGGGGGGATCACGGCTAAATAGAAGCCCTTTAAAACTCGATCTTTAGTTTAATTACTACCGACAATACGTTAATCTTCTCAGTGGACTGAGCAGGTCAGATCCACTAACGAACGTAAGCACAGGGCTTAACGACGAGGAGAGACAGAAGGGGGCAGTGAGGGAGAAAGGGGGCGGGGTAAGGGCCTAATGGATGCCACCCGATCAGGCGTCACCCTTTCGACCCGCGTCCCCTTCCCCGACTAGACGCGCAAAACGGGGACGAGGGCGCAGGCTGGGCGCGGGCCGCAGAGGGAGGAAGCGAACTCCTTCGGACGCGACGCAACACTGCTCCACGTGCACGGCGTGGCACGGCGGGGCACGGCGGGGCGTGGCACGGCGGGGCGCGGCAGCCAGCTCGTGGCCCGCCCAGTCGGGGAACTTGCCACGCTGATTGCGGCGCTGGGGTGAGTCGCCGAAGATTCACTCGGCAGACAGACGGCGGCAGGCAGTGGCATGCCGCGTCTAAGGGGCGGAGAGGGGAGGGGGAACTGAAGAAGCATGCGTGTGTGTGGAGGGGAGGGAAGGCGAATAGGGTGAGTGCATGAGGTGAGAATGAGTTAGACGTGTAGAGAAGAAGGGTGAAAGAATATTAGTGTGAGGAACATGAAAAAAATAATTGTATTTTTTTATGATTTACAGGCTAAATTCGACAGCTGCAATCGAAAATCGGATACCAACAACCGAAAGCTGCTTTCTACGACCGGATCTTTGTGCGACAACAAACCCTAGCTCAGTTGTCCTCGCAAAAACTTCCGGTCGTGGCTACCAGCTTTCGATTGTGGGTGTCCGATTTGAACCCTTATCGAATTCAGCCTATCGAACGAAGTTGACTACCGCAACAAAGTCTCTTTTTCTTTCGGATAGAGGGGTGGGCGAACGTGGGGAAACGCACGTGCGGCACTTGCGTGTCCCCGTGAAAAGGGCCCGCGCGTGCACCTGGGGGTCATCAAATATGCTGTCAGTGTCTGGCGCGCGCCGCCGTGCCGCCGCCCTCGCCACTGAATCGGTGCAACGTGCTGCCGAACACGGAGTACCTGCCCCGCCGAGACCTGCCGAGCCCTGCGCCAGTTCGACGGGGTAAGCCCCAAGCCCCGCCCGGCACCGCCCGGCCCCGCCCGGCCCCGCCCGGCGGGGCAAGTGCGCGGGCGTGCCGCCTTGATCGAGTGCGTCACTGCGGTGGAGGGCCCGCCGGGGTGGCGCGTGCGCGGGGCGGGGTTTCAGATGCATGACACGCAAGCAAACTAGGAGAACCTTTTGCACTAAATGCTCACAGACGTTTTGATCATCAGTGTTGACGTGTGCATGTGCAAACATTTGTATATGAATAAGACACAATTTCATAAGAACAATATGGAAATATTGCCCGTCATATGTTTAATAAATTGTACACAGCTTACATGCACACAAAAATATGGCGATAGTCATGGACAATCAAAGTACATAAACATTTACTCTGAAGCCCTATTGGAAGGTTGTGACCTTGCCGAAAGCTAGTGCTTAATAAAAAGATTTTCTAAACGTAGGTGTATGGTTGTTTGCTATGATGGATTCATTTGTAAGCGCATTGTCTGGACTTAAGTGCAAAGCCGATCAAAAATATTTTTTACGCACCGATGCTGCAATTCCCCGCTTACGGCCAACGGGGTTAGCACAGCTCTGAAAGTTATTGTTTTCGCGTGCGTGGGGCCCACTGGCCCACTCCACTGAGCGGTGAGGGCTATTACCCTGGGAGGGGGAGGGACGCGAGGGGCATATACGGGCTGTAAGTACAGTGCTCAGCCCTCCCGATCGAAGGGATACATATTGTGACTTGCGGCCCTCTTTTCCTATGCCAGGCATCTGGAGCCCGTGCGTCAGTCAGTGAGTCTGGACGTCTGTCTGCCTGTTCCAAAGTCCCTGGCGCGCCTACAATGTCTGGCGTGCCCTTGCTTTGTCTGAGGCCGCGCAGGGCCGCGCCATTATTTTAAGACAGACAGCCACAAGACAGCCCCCTCAACGGACGCAGCCACCGTCGCAAATCCACTTGAAAATTGGCCTTACCTCTCCGCGGTTTTTTCCGGGAATATAATATCGTGGCTTTTGACCATCCTGTGGGAAGAAGAGAATTCCTTTCCTTAAAAACAAAAGAGTCGAGGAGTCGGGTTTCGCGGTGTGGCTGAGACCGGAAGGGTTCGTGACCGCCCTTTGACCGCACCTGCGTCGCCTGCGTCCGCACCAAGTTTCCGTCGACAGTGGCGCGGCCGCAGGCCCAGCCCAGGCGAAGCCAGGTCCCTAACGTCTTTAAACACTTGGCGCTGACAGCCGCATCTCCAAAACTTGTTCCCGTCTTGAAGGGACAAGGCAGGAAGGAGAGGAGAGGGGAGGGGTGGTGAGGGGGCGGTGGGCAAGGGGAGAGAGTGCGGCGCCCGCCACGCACGCAGCGACAGCGCGACGATGCCTCGACACGCCATTATGAAACGCCAAAATAGTCGCGACGCGGCGTCAGCGCGCCTGCCTCGCTCCTCGTTCCGACTGAGCGATTCCAGGGGGCGGCGACAGTGGGCTTGGTGGCTGAAGCGCGGCCGTGCAGCAGCAAGGATGACGAGGTCGCCGCGGCCGGCGAACAGCCAGCCATTGTGGCGTGCCTGTGCCTGTCTGCAGACTGACTCCGAGAGTCGCCGCTCTGTCACTCTCGCACTCATGGGGAGTCCCGTAGAGGTGCGGCAGAGACGGAGCGACTGAAACGACGGCAGGAATCAGTCTTCTGCGTGGGAAGGGGGCAAAACGGTCGCATCCCCGCAACAAAGACAGGAGGCTCCCCGCCGTCATCATCGCCGCCGCTTTTAAGGCCCGAGCAGCAGCGTTCGAGTACGTGGCGTCAACACACAGGCTGCCAACGGAAAAATCACTTTCTTCAAACTGGTGAGTGCAAAATAATTAAAATTTCAAAAAGGAACCACAAAAAGTTGAACAGTGCCAGTTTTTTAAAGTAAGTTTTTTGCTCGAGAAAAAAATAAAATTGATTTTTATTGATTAGATTTAGAAACTGTTTCGTTGATTGGGTAATATCAAACTCGCGCAATGAAATGGAAGGTCTCTTTCCCCTGGGCACTGAGCGCCGACACTGGCAGATGGAGGGCTCTTCGGCACGAAGGTGTCGCCGGCCGGCCCAGGGCGGCCCGGCCAATGTTGCGGCCTACGCGCCCTCACCGCAACGCGCCGCGGCGCCGCGGCCGGCGGGGTGTCGCGTGACGTCTCCATATTGAGAGCGAACAACTTCGAACCCACATGGAAGGAAATAAGGCACGGCACGACAAGGCAGGGCACGGCACGACACGGCGGCACGCGGCCAGCCAGCCAAACTCTGCGGCGCCACGTGACGCTGAGTTCGCCCCGTAGTTGCACCAATTTTCTTGTTGTTTTGCGAGCGACAGATGGGGGGACGGGCGGAGCAGGGGCGGAGCGGGAAGACGGGGAGGGGGCGGAGGGGGGAGTTGCTGGCGATGTGCGTCCTCTCACTTGGAGTGGTTTCGGGAATTGGCGCGTCACAGAGAGCACTTGCCGGGAGCGAGGAGCTAGACAAGGTCGAGTGGAGGAGCGGCGCGGGGCGGCGGCGCGGCGCGTAGTAGCGCGTTTACGGAACGTCTGGCTGGCGGTAAAGCATTTCGCCGAACATTACCGCGACTGGGGCGCGGCAGGAAATTGGCTTTCTTGATATTTGGCCTGCTTATTCAAGGCGAGAAGGGGCCCGTTGTCTTGCATGTTCAAAACCAGACTCATACACCAAGTTTGTCGAACCAAGACAGTAGCGAAACATGCTTCACCACCGCGAACGTTGTCAAACTCTTCGCCTTTTGTCAAAATTAACATGAATTTTGTAACAGTGAGCGAGGCCTTGTTCGGCCTCTCAAGGGAAGTGCGGCTGGAGGCAATTTCACGTTACCAGGCAAAGAAGCCCCGCCACGCCAAGGTGACTTTCCCCCCGCACGCTGTCATAACCAAAGCTAGCCCACAATAGTGTAATATAATCAGACGTACTGCCAGAAAGTCGTCACAAAGCTCGGAGATTGTGGTCAATCCATAGTGCATTGAAAACAGTCTGAAATTATAGGAAAGAGGTACAGAATCTAGCAGGCAGTCACCAGACGAAAATTCTCTGTAATTTTCAGTGTCCGTAATAATGTATCTGTAACTTATCAGTAATGTTCTCAGAATTTCTAACAGAGCGGCCAGGCATAGCGTGCCGACCCGTATTTACGAAAAGGGCCAAGGCGAAACACTGCGAGATGTTGTTGACACGCCCCACCGCGGCCCCGCGCGTCACGCACAAAATTGAAGGATAAATAGAAAAATTACCCCCACGCACTTGTACTACTCGTCGGAGGTCTCTCGTCCCCGACCCCTTCAAAATACATGGGCTGCAACAACTAGCTCCCAACATCCACCAGATTGCCGTCGTCTTCCCGTCTTCGTTAGCAAGCTGTTCGGTCTCTGCCGCCACCGCACGCACCACTCTCAGCGCCTGCGGAACGGAGGGTAGGCAGTCCCGCACCACGCGGATGCTCGGCGGGCTGGCCCAGCCGGCCCTTCGCAGGCGCTCGGGCTCCGGCGCTAGCGGCGCGCGTCACCACGACCAGGTGCGGATCCAGGCTTTTCCTAAGGAGGAGGGAAGGCAGAGCCTACTTCTGACACATAAGTGATTGTAGCCTACTTTTCAGACGGCTGATCTAGTCTAACACTCGAGCGAAGGGGAGAACCCGCACTACCCCCCTCTCTATTGGAGCCGCGCCTGGCGGCGCCTGGCCATGACGCGGCGGAAACGCTGAGCCAAGCGACACACTTCCGGGAAGCGCCATGCCACGCTTATTGCAGCATGAAACCGTATCCCCTAGCCCTCCAGTGGCCAGCCGACGGGGCGGCAATAGTGTCGTTATTATTTATGAGCTTGTGTGCGCGCGGTGTAACGGGCGGCGCCTATTTTATACAAGAATCAATTGTCATGGCAAACAAAACGGGGCCTTCACTACACACTAGTGTATGGACACAGACAAGGGCGGGCCCGCGTGTATGCACACTGTGCAGTCACGAGTCACGATAGAATAACGATAAAAAAGATCGGCCTATATTTTAATATTCGGTGCACATGCATTTACACATGAGGGTTGTCCTCTGTAGGAGTACTTGCATCATATAGAATTTTATGTTTTACTTTTTGAACCCAATTATTTGATAGTTCCAGCATCTATTTTAGAAATAAAACATTTTGTGCAATGAAAAAAATTACATGTTTAGGGTTCCAAGTTTCTTACTTAATTCGAAGATTATGTCCCTTACCTCCATATAAACCTCCACCAGTTAACCTTCTATTTTCTTGCGATAGTTTCGCATTTTTTTAAAATTGGCATCTGTTTTCCTCAAGCATACTCGCACAACAACGCGCAAGACAACAAACAAAAGTGACAAACAACAATAACAACAAAGGTAAGAGAGCCGTATCGCCGCCGCAGTCAGCACACAGTACACGTGAGTCCTTTTTTTTCTGCCGTCACTGAAAACCTGACGCGCTTTCGGCCGCTCCTCTCCGCTGTCACCGCTCTGAGCCCCTCCGCTTGTTTTCAGTGTCAACAATCCTTGCGGCACCGCTGCGGCCCGCCCGTCCCCGCTGACTGGGCTGGCTGGCTGGGCCACGGGGGCTGCAGCCGCCGCCGCCGCGCCGCGCGCCCCGGCCGCATACCCGAGTCGTCGTGACAGTGCCTGGAGGCTGCCTTAGCTCGGAGGAAGAAGAAAAAAGGGAGAAGAGGAGTGGAAAAAGAAAAAGAGTGCAAGGGCCGTGCTTCTCTTTGTGGCGCGGCGGCGGTGGGAATAAAAAGGGGCGTTAATAAAATTGGAGCATTTGTCATGACGGGCTCAGGGGGTGCGACGCCGCAGCGACGGCCCCGCATCCCGGACGGACGGCGTGTCGGCACGCCCCGGGCACGCCCTGCCAGACAGCGCACGCCCCGGCATGCGGCCCGCGCTGCGTACACCACCAGACACCGCCTACACCGCCAGGGACAGCGAGTTTGGCGTGGGCCCGGAAAGGCCGACCCTTTCCGGGCAAAAATTCTGTGAGAAGAAAAGGAGATTGCCCTGCAAACACCGCGGCAGGCCTCCACCGTTTTACAGCAGCCCGTAGCGAGCGCGTAGTGGGCGACGGTGGGCAGTAGGCGGGCCGGCCGGGATTGAAATTTCAATCCAGCTGTGTACTGGACAACACAGTCTCGCAGCCTGAATAACGGCAAATAAAGTTTCGAGAACGAGGATTCGCTCAGGGACTGAAATTGAAGCAGGCAGGGCCGGCTGGCCGGCAGGGCAGGCAGGGCTGGCTGGCAGGCCGGGGTGCACGGGGCGCTGGCAGACGGAAGTCCGGCCAGGTGTTCCGAAGAAACGAGATGCGGACGGCCAGGCCGGCCCGGCTGCCGCAGGCCGCGGCTGTCCGGCACACCTCACTTTCCAGGTGGCCGTGCCGTGGCCATGCGAGGCGCTTTTCCCGGAATTCTTCCGCTCCGGGACACAACCCCCCACCTCCCCAGCCTCCCCTCGGCAGGCTGCCGGCGGGGCGGAAAGGCGCGCTGACGCCCGGACGAAACACGCGTCCAACTCCGGCCTAACTCATTACGACTCGGCGTCGCTTCGTTTTCCCAATTCCACGGTCGCGGCTCGCCACGCCACGGCTCCCTCGGTGCCGCCCCGGCTCCCATACTTCCGGGGGAAACGCGTGGCGACAGATCAGGCGGCCTGCTTCGAGGCGCCTGCCGATCAGCTCCCCGGAGAGAGTGTACAGTCTGTGTCAAAAGAAATTGACCGGACCGCTTCCGTCTCGGCTTCCGCACTCTTCCGGTTCCGTAATGGAAAAGCGAGAAAAAGGGGAGGGGCGCTCGTGCGGGTAGGAAAGCCTCGGGAGGAATAGTGCGAAGAGAGTTGCCTCCGCCGCCGTAAAAAGTACTGGGGAGGAAAGCCAAGATAAAAATAGATACGTCCATACCTCTACACAACATCGCTCATGGAGAGGAGCCTGGTCAATTTTCAGCCTGAAATTGTTCGCACACTTTTGTTCAGCGGGTTTGGCAGGTTCACATTTTCCCCAGTGGCCACTTTCCGCACTTCAATTCGAAACTCGATTCCACTCAGTGGGGCCTCGTGGCCAGCGGCCTCGGGCCTTTCGCGTTGTTGTGACTGCATGCCGTCGTGTTTGAGGGCCGCCCGCAGCGGATTGGGGGCGACCTGTGGAGTCCCTCGCGCGCCGGAACGTCGCCAGAGGGATTGAGCGCCACTTTGGCTACGCCAGGGCCGAGCTAGGGCCACACCACGGCTGAGGTCCCGTTACGACTTCGCTGAGCGGCCGGGCCGTAATGGCCGCCGTAAACTGCGGCCACCGCCGCTGCAGAAGCGCAGGTGGCGCTGGTGGCGGTGCAGGTGCCAAACGGCCCCGTCTTTGTCATCTGTCACCCCGAGGAGTTGCCGCGCGGCGTCAGAATGCATCCAATATTCGCGGCTCTGTCGTCACGCGTCAGGTTTGTTCCGTCCGGAGTGTTCCTGTTCAACTTTGTCAAGAGGTACTGCGCGAAGTGCACCGCAAAAATTTGTGTTGAGCGTGAATAATGCAGAGCCCCAGTTCCAAACTCTGCGGAAACCAGGTGGCTGAGTGAACTGGGGGCTCGTTTTTCCACCAGCGGTTCGGTAAATGCACTCACCTCAATGTGCAGGTACGTGGTGTAGATCGGGTAGGGCACGACGATGCAGGACGCCGTCAGCCAGGTGCCGATGGCGAAGACCACGGCGGGCAGGCGCTGCTTCGAGGGGTCCTCGATGAATCGATAGCGATCGTAGGCCATGATGACGAAAGTCAGCACAGAAACGTGCATTGGGATGTCCTGCAAGCACGGCAAGCAGGCACCCAGGTGTTGGACACTTTTCCAAAACAACATTAATACAGGTCTCTCCACTGTGAAACCAAGTGTTCAAAACGTCAAAATGTGCAGGAGTGGAATTTGCTGTCTGCTGTCTCCGCACTTTAAAGTACAGAGTTTGCAATCTCCACACTTCATGTTGCGCCATGCCACGTCCAAGTGTAGAGAATTATTCCGTGCCAGGAAGTGAGGGAGTTCTTCACACTTTGACAGAGTTGGGCCCAATTAGGACTTTTTCCTTTCACAAACATGACGTTGGGATCGCTCGCTGCGCGGTCGTCGTCGTTGAGCAGCACCTTGAGGGCGAGGACCGGGCGCGGTCTAATAGAGCGCGCCATGGAGTGAGCGTGTCTGGGGCGGGCACGGCGCGGCACGGCGCGGCACGCCACATTCCATTTGGCGCACGCTCCCGTTGCATGCCGAATCGCCGGCCCCGGCGAAACTGGGTGGAAACTGGGTCAGGGATGACTGCTGTTTGCACGTGCGTTTCCATAATCGAGCCTTTCCTATTTTTGAGCGGACAATGGTCGACACCAGGCGAGCATCACAAAGGCCTTTGCTCTGGGAGTGCATGCACTGTGTGCACATATGGCGTCAAAGGGGTTTAACTGCATATTTATTAACTTTACTTCGGCCATCGGGCCGCTCCGCCCGTTTTTTCTGTCGAGTTTACCTTACCCTGTGTCGCCTCTTTTGCAGGCAGGAGGTCAGCTCTTCGGAACTTTACAGAGAGTGCACACAAGGGTTCTTCTTTAAAAGTTTTTAAAGGAGAATGTTGTGTTTAGGGAATGACACAGCCATAGAAACGCTGCAGAAGCCCTCCTGCAGCATTCTAAACACTCTAGCAAAATTTCGTTTCCGCTTGGGCCATTTTTTCGTGTGTAGGAGATTTATTCGTTTCACCTTCAGAGCGTGTTTCGAACATTCTGCCGTAATATAAACGAGGGCAAGCAACGAAATTTTTCCTGGCATTCACAAGCGGAGTAATATTAAGTAAGTAAATGCTTTTCACGAGGAAATGGTGCAGTCAAACACGACACACGAAACGTTCCAATCAATTACCACTCCGCGGTCGCACTGATGGTGGAGCCATGGCGGCATGGCGAGCAGCGTGTAATATGCATTTAGCGTAAACCGTCACGAATAATGTTGTTTCAACAGTTGGCGCCATTGGGGGAGAGGGGGACTTGAAAGAGCAGCGTTTCCTTGAACGCGCGCACCGCTCTACGGGCTTACCAACCAAAGCTAGCGGCACAGCGAGAAAAACACGACAAAGAAAAAGACCTTAAAAATAATGACAGCAAGGACTCTGCTGGCGGCGTGGTGGACGTCGATGCCGGGCAGTGGCTAAAAGGCGCAGCCGAACGGGTGGCTTAAAGCAGCAGAACAAAACTCCTGACGCACCATGTTTTTGTTCTTTGTTTAATAATTTTTTAAGAGTACTAAGCATGGACACCAGATGGGCCGGGCCAGCTGCCGTCGTCCCGTGAGCCCCCAGGGCCAATGCCAATGCTAATCCTGCTTCACTAATCCAATCCTTTGGATTCCCAGGCAGCCCTTCGGGAAGACGACGGCGGGCGAAAAGTGAGGCGGTGGACGCCGGCAACTTTGCGCCGCACTCGGACGGGCCCGCGACCTTGCCAGCACTTGCGGCCTGCTTTAGGACCTTCAGCAGCAGGAAGGGGTCCGCTCGCAACAATTTGATGTCGAGGCAATAAACGCAGTGGCTACTAGCAGCAGGCCGCTGAACAACACTGCCCCCAATATAAACGTGGCGAAAGGCGAAAGAGGTCCGCTTTTACGACAGCGTCGGGACGCGTCGCCGTCCTGATTTACAATTTGGAGAGCCGCGAGCAACAAAATGGTCAATTGGCGATTGGAGCGGGAAAGAGAGGGGCGATGCAGTTAACGGCGAACACGTCGCGTACAGGCGAAACGGGCTGTAATTTGGTGGTTGGCGATTCGACGGCGCACCTGCTGCATGCAGCGCGCACTGCTGACTGAGCCACCCTCGCCACTGTCGGGGGGCCGGGCAGCATTCCGGTGCAGGGAAACTGCTTTAACTTAACAGTCCCGGTTAAGTCAGGAGGAGACCTGCTCCACTGGAGCCCCATCCCACTGCGGCTCGCACACGACAGGCGGAAGCACTTCTCGATTCGGAGGCCATTTCCGTGCCGGTCGCTTCAATGTTAAACAGGCCTGGATCATTGGCCGCGGTGTCATGCAGGTCGCGGTGGAGCCGGAGTGGCACGCGCGGTCCTACCGCCACGTCCGATTCAGACGAGTCAGCTTCCGGTCGGACCGAGACGCTCCGCACCATCCATCGCCGAACGCCACTTTCAAAGGGAATTAATCCGGAAGTCGACGTCCTGGTCAACATGGCAGCACGGCACACCCTGCGGCCGGCACCGCGTCAAGGGCCTCCACGTCGAGGGCCTCCACGTCAACGACCCCCGAGGCACTGCTGCCCCGCCGTGATTGGCTCTTCATGCGCGCCCTCAAATAAAAGGGGCCGTCCACGCCGCCGTCCCGACCGGCCCCAGCCGTATTCAGGGGGTTATTTCCTCGACCGGTGGCGCCACCGTCGGCGAGATCAGCTGCTCGTCCCCTTTTCCGCCACTCCCTTGCCGTCTACGCGACGCGGCGACGCGGCTTGGCGTGAGTACCTGTCCGTCAGAGCGTGCCGGGCCGCGCAGTCCGCGCTGTCCGCGCGCCGTTTCGAGGCGACGGGCTGTATTTTTGATGCATCGGCGTCGCGAACGACAGTCGGGACGGGACGTGAGGCCCTGGACAGCGCAAGGTGACGCCACGCCATGAATATTTCATGGACGGGCACGTCACGGCGCGTGGCACGGTGTAAGATCCCATAAGGGAGGACTACTAATGGCCGCCATCGCCGGACAGTAATAGTCCCTCCGAGTCATGCTTGAAAAAAGGTTTTGCGTATCGCTGCAGCGACGCTCCTGCGCACTTTCGCTTAATTTCTCTTTGGTAGACGATGTTAAAAAACAAATAAAAGGGAGGCGTCTCCGTCTACAAAGTCCACGAGGCGAGGCAGCAAAGCGTTCAGCGCGGGGCGCTGCGAGGATTGGCAGTTCCTTTTTTTACAACGTGTTCTATTCGGGTCAACTGGCGCCCGCCCGCGTTTTTCCTTCCGTTTAAAGTAAAGAAACTTTGCAAATTGAGGATTAGAGATTAGGAGGGGCAGAAAGGCGCCTTTTGGGTGAGGCAGGAAGTCCGAGGCGGAGAAGGTTAGTCGCTGTGTGCTCAGGGCGGTCGGTCCTTATGGCGCCCAAATCAGTGCCGGAACCGGAACCGGGGAAACCCGAGGCGGAGCATCCCTATTGCCCATTACCCGTCGTTCAGGGCGAAGCGCTGCCGGATTGGCCCGCTTGAGAGTCGCGGCCTTGTCGACAGCCCCTCACAACATGCGCGTCTTGTGGTGATGCGCGCCCTCCGCGGCCCAGCGTGGCGCCCCCATTTCCACGTTTGTCGCACCCGCGGGGCCCGCGAGGGGACCGCAAGGGCACCGCGAGGGGCACAAAACCCGGCATTCCGTCTCGTTTGCACTTTGTCGCCTGCCTAGAGGCACTCCACCTTTTCTCTGCGGCTGCGAGGTGAACCGTGGCGAGGCGGACGACGAACTTCGAATTGTGCGGGCTGCGGCGCTGCGGCGGCGTGAGCGCTGTTGTGGGAAACAGCGAATTTCGACAACTATGAAGTGGCACGGTCTAGCCAGCCAGCTGCACAGTGCTAACTCGCGGAGGGTGGTGGTGGGAGGGATAGAAGGACGCGGGCAAAACACCATTACGTCTCGGGCCTTCCCCGCTCATTGCGAGCCTCGTGATCCCTTAACGGTTGTTAGACGTCCCCGTCCCCTTGAAGAGAGAAAAACTTGTTTCCAGAGCCGGGGGTAAAGGGGAGGGTGAAAGTGGGGATATGGAATAAGGAAGTTGCTTTAACGGCGCTGCCGTAATGGTATTTCGAACTCGGATCCATTCAGGGGACTAGTGGGGGCTTCAGGCTCCAGCAAGAGCCCTGGGTACTTGGCCTATAATGATCGGCACTGTCTGTGCGTGCACCATCGGGGATTTCCAAGAGAAAGTACAAGACTTCCAATTTCACGTGTGCGTTGTTGTTACTTCTTTCTTCCGACCATTAGTTACGTTACGCTGGATATCTCTAAAGCGACGTTCCTCTTCAGTCCAGTGCTCCTATACAGCACTGGTACCAGTTTCGATTCAGTCAGATGTCCCGTTGCGCACTCCGAGGATCAATTGATGAGGGAGCCCAGAAAGCCTCCCTCCCGCTGACGAGTCGGAAACCCCTAAGCCTAGCGGCGAAAAGATACTCGCTTGCTATCTGTCGATGCCGTGGAAAACCGTTCAAGTCCATCAAGCTGTCAAAAGCAGAACGACGTGGGTTCGTTTTTGCCGTGAGATAGCACGAGCTTGTTTTTGCGTTCGCTCCCTCTTTGTTTACTTGCATTTATCAAGTGAGGGTCACAACCAGGCAAACAGGGGAGAAAAATCGTGTTCATACAAATGCAAGGATATCTAAACAACCTGACATGCACATGTTATTCGAACACGTTGTTTTTTGCGTAGCATTGAAAGTAATAACACATTGTTGATTTCTTATTGTTCTGTGCGGCATCAAATATACGCCAGTAAAAGTTGCCTTCTCCTGCGAGAAAACCACATAAGCATTGTGTGGTACTACATGCTTTTGGAGCGAACCTCAATGGATTCGGTTCGGGAACAATGAAGACCATCGGAGGACTGAGAGCCCCCCTTGAATGGAGCTCCCAATTGGATTAGGCGGCCGCTCTTGTGGCGGAGGACACCCACCTTCGCATCTCCGTTGCACGACTCAAGTCTTGCATTGTCTGGGGGAATGGCGCCGCTCAACACATCTGCGACAATAAGCCCAGCCACCCGCGGCGGGTCTTCAAGAGAGCGAAA